CAATATTTTTGAATGTGATGCTTGGATTTTGTTTGTGTGCTTTTTTTTTCTTAAAATATATGACTGGCTTCGTGGGCATGAAATGCACAAGTCTTCCAAATTATTTAAAATTTGATTTTTGCTGAAATTTTATACTAGCTTCATACTAATATATGATGTTTGCCTATGACATGATGTGAAAACACCGGAGTAGCGCAACCACAGTTGTTATTAGTGTAAATGCTCTTAATATGTTTGGCTGTCAAGACTCGGCTATGCCATATAGTAACAATAGTTTTATGAAGAATATTCATAAACACCATATTATACAATTATGATTATTTTTTATATATTAAGTTTTTATTATTATATTCTTATATCAAATACAATAGAATTATTAACTAAATTTTATTACTTAAATTATATAGAATACAACTATAAAACTTAGATAACTAATTATACATTAATTTAAATTAACTAGAACTATTAACTAAATTTAATTGCATATTACTTATAACTGTTTAAAATAAGTTAATTTATTTAGGGTGAATATTTTTATTTCATTGCTAATTTTTCTAAACATTTATAAATAGTATATTTTTTATTAAAATTCAAATTTTTGCAATTGTTTTTAATATGCTGGTAAATTTTGCACTATATTAACAACTTTTTTGGTTTAAAAAACCTTCAGTACTGCCATTTAAATGGCATTGAAGATATCATAATAAAGTTATTAAAAAGTAAAATTACTTATTAATTTGATATAACTTATTGAAAGTATTAATTAATATAATTAAGTTAATGTTTTACACAGAAGTTCATAAAGGGGAACTGTAGACATTGCGAGACGAGAATTGAAGAACTTTCACATTATTATTATTTTTTTTTTATTTTTTAAAATTTTTTTAAATATTTTTTTTTAACTTTATTTTTGATTGTTTTTTGAATTCTGTTTATTATTTTTTAGCACAATTTTTTTTTGTTTTATTTACTATTCACATGTGGTGGAGTGTGGTGAAAGACTCACCCCAATGCCGACGAGCATTTCGGGCACCGTATCAACCCACGACTACACACACTGCACACACAGTTAGGATATGTGATAATGGCCCATATTGGACGATAAATCTACGTTTGAACGGTAAACTAAAGCAGCGACGATAAGCCCAACGCTTGACCGACGGAGTAACAATTGACCAACAAACGATAAGCCCAACGCTTGGCCAACGGAGTAACGATTGACCAACGAACGATTGACCAACGAACGATAATCCAACGTTTCGATCAACGGACAGATAACCACGATGAACAATGACGCATGATAACGAAACACAACAACGACTTATTGACCAACAATTAAAACACTCTTTTTTTATTTTCTTCAATATAATTCAATAAGTACACAGGAATTTCAGTTTGAATTATATTATTTTATTATATTTTATTCACAATCTACACAAAATATTAAAAATGTCACTGAAACCGACAATGTGAACCGCGTGTGTTGAACCACATTTTAAAAATTATTAAGAGCAAGACGAGCTTCCATTAAAATTAAGTTTTTCTTTCAAGTATCAATAACTGTTTTTGTTTTTGTTATTTTTGGAATGAAATTTCTGTGAGAAGAGCAACAAATAACCTCATTAGGTAGCATGAAGTGGAACTATTTGTTTACTTCAAATAAACGGGAAAGAAACGTATTGCCGTTGTTTTAGTAAAAAATTTTTTTTTGATATTGTTTTCGCTATACAGCAGAATTTTTTTGTTGTTTCTAATGCTTAGTATATAATAATAAAAATAATAAAGAATGTTTACATTTTTTTACCAGTGTCGGATGGCTTGACTTTATGACGAGAATACAGAATAAGTATTAGATTCGTGTGTTTTTGTTTATCGTGACGACATAAATTCGGACAGATTATGTTTGAGATGATGAATGTAACTTTACTAAAGTGCCGTAAATCTTTTTGTCAACTGGATTCTACGTCGAATGCAGTTTAGAAGCAGATGATACGAATGGGGAGTAAATGATAGAGGGTGAGAATAAATGCTGAAGCTTAAGCTGCCGATAACTTAAAACGAGTTCAGGTGATCGTGTATAATTATTTCTGTGTAGTTTATATTTAATTATTGCTGTATTATAAAAATACTATGTCAGAACTCTGAAGTCTCTAGTCAGACTATAGTCGATATATTGGTGAAAATAAAATATGATGTTTAGAAGTAATTCAAAAAGTGTTTTATTTGAACATACAACCAATCAGTCCTTTTCAAAAATTAAAATAATAAATAAACAGTTTTGGTCATTAAAATAAATTATATATTTAAATAAATTCTGAAGCGAGTATGGAGTTGATATGCGTAAATGTACTGGTTGCAGCAGTAGAGAACACATTAAAGTTATTACACACCTTTAAAATAAAGTGCTGAAAGGCATTGACAATATACCTTGGTATGTCAGGAATAATGATCTCCATCGTGACCACTAAATAATTACTACTGGTGAGCAAGAAAAAAACAATCACAGGCATTATAGTATATTAATATACATCGATATGTTACCGAAGAAACCCAACATCTTTTCAATGACTCATGCCACACCGATCATAAATCCATAAAACACTAAATAATTTCATTGGTAACAAAGACAAAATGCACAAATAAATTGATTAATTTATTAAATAATAATTTATCTCATTATACAAATCGGTCGTTAGTTTTAGAAACTATTTGAATCTTCAAGTGTGTTGTATAGATTTTCTCACATAATATTATATTGTGTTCTCGCCCTGGTCTTCTGTAAGTTTTTTGCAAAAAAACTGTTATTTCTGGGTAGGTATTTTGTAAGTTATTAGTGGTTGCATAATTTTAAACCATAACTGGCTATTAAGTATTGTCTTCAGATACAATATTTAAATGATACAATATTGAGTGCTGTTGGTTTTATTACAATTTCAGTTGCCATATAAAATTAAGGCATTACTGCTCCTCTTGAACAGTCTTATTTTTGCTTGAAATGATATCTCGCAAAATGTTTTGATTTGGTTATCTTCATATATTGTTTAAGTTTCCCAAATCAGACTTTGCTTAATTAATTCAAAAATATTTTTAAAAAGTATCTGAAACGAACGCTTTGTGAACGACTTATTATATTTATTTTAATGCATAACACAAATTTAATATAAAATTAAAAAAAAGTTTTAATAATACATTTTTCTGTTCATTCTGTTCACTTTATAAATATATTATACATATTTATTCGCATTTGAAGTCCCGAAAGGTTTACTTATATGAAGTTTTACTTACCATTGTAAATATATATATATGTGTACATGAAATTTTTACCTATATCCTCTTTCTTTCTTATGTTTTCGGTGTAAAGCAAAAAATTTATGATGAATGATGTAAAACCTTATGAATTATTTATAATGTGTTAATATAATTTAATTCAGAAAAGTTTTTTATCTGCTTAACAATTATTTTATACTACTTTTGTTTGAGGATTACTCAAATTTTGTACATAAAGCGGCACTCCATTAATTAAGCACTGAGCTGAATTAATAATGCTTAAAAAAAAGTATTAAGTCTAGAACGAGTGCTAAATGCTTGTTTAAAATAAATGAACATGTAACCTTACATAAAGTTATGTCAATAAAATGTTTGCTCGTCCCAGTACAGGATAATTTCGTATTTGTTTAAACTACATTATGTTTTGTAAAGTTACCTTTAAGTAATTTTTGAACTTGACAGTTTCCATTTGATACTCAGCTGTTATTAAGACTGTAACATTATTGAATCCAAATAACTATATAATGAGTCTTTTAATTTAATTGTAATTGAAATCTCAAACGAGCATATAATGCCACAAAAGAATTAAATGCAAAACGCTTTCTGGATGTCCTTATTGACACTATACATTTTCAAGATATAAAATAATAAAACAGACCAAATATATTACCATAATTAAAAAATATAATGTGTTTATAATAACAACTATTAACGTATGTATTTGCTTCTGTGGCCCTCCAATCTGTACAGTGATTTGTATTGGCCCGCGTTCTCATCTGGTCTGGACAACCCTGTTTCAAAAGAATATATACGGATGAAGAAGATATTCGAAAAGTTAGTGCCGCATTCAATGACAATTCAACGAAAACTAAATCCAAATCAAATTTCTCAGCGCAACCTGTAGCGTTTGGAGTAGAATGATACCGATTTTAATCGTTATTTAATAGCTATGGATGAGACCTGTATTTACCATGATCGTAAACTGCAACAAGAACGTTTACAGTGGACTGAAGTTAGTTGTTGAGCTCCAAAACAGGTGAAGTCAGCAAGATCGCCTAGTTTGATGTTGTTTAATATTGGGTCTTCAAGTTAAGGGAGAACAATACCATCATAAACTCAATGCTTATATAAAAAAGTTAATATATAGATAATAAAAATAACAATAATAAGGTAAATTAACAAATGAATGGCTATAAAAAGCTATCTTTAAAAATTGCAAATAGTTATTTTGGAAAAGTGCATGCTAAGGTAAACTAAGAATTTAAAATAAAAATGAAGAAGCTATTAAAAACTAAATAAAACTAAAAAATTATGGAAAAATATATAGATTATACTCAGCTTTTGAGGGTTAAAAATATACGAATATTAAATATAATTACAATAGGGGTGTGACAGAGGACTTAACTTGAATGCACATGTTTGCATATCTTGTCTTTAGCTGTTCAACACGAAGAATTTCGATAATTATTTACGATGTACTAGCAGTGAATTCAGATCATTTAACAATATATTCCTAGGAAAGATGTCTCTCAATTGGAATAATCACTCTGCTATATTTTGATTTGTACATTTCTATGGGAGTAGTTTGATCTAAAAACTATACTCGCAAGTAAAAATTGTATAAAATTATTTAAACAATAACACTAAATTATATCATGACATTAAAATAAAACATTTTGTTTATCAAAAAAAAAATTTTAAAATTTCAATCATAGCTATAACTTTCTAAAAAACTTGAAATAACTTTTTTTCTCTAAAAGTATTCAAAAATAAATAATGTTTAACTTTCATTTCTAAATTCCAAAAATCTGCTTACACATGCCGAATAATGCAATATACTCGTATTTAGATTGGAAAGTCTAATATATTTATTTCTATGGCGAATTGCATTAATCGGCTACAATGTTTGCTTTCGGCTATACTCCAAGGAATAACATTCTTTTTTGTGGACTGCATTATGAGTGTTCTTACACAATTAATTAAGTTCGCAATGGTGTTGGGATTAGCTTGTTATCTATGCATATTATTTTTTCAGTTGGTAAGTTCAAAAGCCAAAATTTTGCTCCAAATATTACATGAAAAATTTATAATTCAGTGCGAATCAGCAAATTTAGGGTCTGGAGCTATTTCAATTGATCCAGAGTTTCATGAAAGTCACAGAAACTCTATTTTATCAATGGGAAGAAAAGGTTCTAAAGATGAGACGCGCAAATCACTTTTGGATGATAATGCGAAAAAATCACCACGCGAAAGCAGGAAATCGCTCACAGAGAGAAAATCCGCTACGGATGCTGATAAAACAGCGTCCAGCACTGAAGGAAAATCATTAAACGAAACTGGAAATACTGACACAGATGCTAATGCAAGGAAATCGATCAGTGAAAGAAAATCACTTACAGATGGTAAGAACGCTTCAATTTCTGGGACTGAGAGAAAATCGATCAGCGAGGGAAGAAAATCCATTGAGGCTAAAAAAGCCTCAGGAATAGAACAGCCCCCTCCAGAAGCTGATAAACCTAGTTCAAGCAGACCGTCAAGCTCTAATGCTAGAAAGTCAATTACCGAAAACGTTGGTAATATCAAGGATCAACCATCCGAGGTCATCGCAGAACACATTGCAAGTTCGAAGCCATCTGTAGCAAGTAATATTCAAAAACCACCCGAAGACAAATTAGAAGAGAAACAAGAAAATAAGGAAAATCAGGAAAATAAGGAAAAAAAGGATGAATAATATACAAAATCCACTTATTGTAATAATAGGTAATTGCGAGCTATACAACATAAAATAAAATAAACTAAGATAAGGAAGAATTCTTAATTCTAAAAACTACTCATATTTAGTTCAACTCTGTTAGTAATATATATTTAACATCTTCAAGGATACCTCTTTTAGAATAACGAAAGAAATTTCGGCATTAAGTACATGTTAACACCAAGGAAACCGCATATATATTTTATTACGAAATATTAGAAGTGAAGGAAGTTTCTTTCCTTTGTTGACTCGCAAATTACAATATTTTTTTTATAAAATCCTTTAAAAATAAGGACCGTAATTTTATCTATTAATAAAACACGTTTGCTAAGCAACCAATTAAATAATATTAATGTAGTGACATATATATGTATAGTCTACATGTATAATAATAATAAACAGAACAAAGCAGGTCTGTCTGTAACCATCTGATTATGATCAGGACCAGGAGAACAATAATAGACCATCAGCTCTTATAGGCGTCTGATAATGGCTAATGATTTCGGCTTCGGCGTTTTCAAATAACTTGCATTTTGGAACGCAGTTTAACACTAGAATGACCAATGTGATCAAAATTACCACTGAAAACAATTAACTCTTCATCACTACAAATTTAATTTTATTTTTTAATAAATAGCGATAATTTTTTGTTGTATCTAAAACCTACCAAATATTGTAATTTTGATTAACATGTCATCGTGATAATTTTATGATATGACTTTCAAAATATGTGGTATATATCATAATAGTAAAAGATTACAGGAAATTGATAAGAAAGAATCAGATAATAAGTTGTGATGATTTTGTTAACGATTGTGACAACTCTGAACCTCATTTACTAACAGAAAGTAAAAGTAGCGAAGAAAAAAATAATAGTAAAAGTAGTGAGTAGCTGAAGTCGTAACTGAAGAAAACACTGAGGGCGTAGGTTAAACAAGGATGGAAAAATCTAAAGACATTTCAATATGAAAAACTACATCAGTTAATGTTATTAAAGCAAAACTAGGACCAACATCAAGACTCAGCTGGAAGTACTTTTCATACGTTGATTGATAGCAATGTTTGTTGTAATTTGCATATGAAACTAATTTTATGATCTTAAGGACTGCAAAATGGAGAATTTCATTTATAGAGAAATGGATGCTATTTTCGAAATTTTTGGAAATACAAATGGTATATATGCTAACGATATTTACCTTTGAAGCAGCTCATTTAACCAACACACTAATCGAGATTCATTCACTTGCAGCAAGGATAGGCCTAAAGATAGACAAAAAACTAAACGTATGAACGTATAAATGTACGTAGTTCCCGCCCATTTACTTTAAATAACAGCACAATCTAGGATGTTAGCTCTTTTAATTACCTGCGCTGCACCGTGAATGCCAATGGCGAATCTGCAAAAGATTTAGGAGTCAAAGTGAGCAAAACGAGAAAAGTTTTCGGTCGATTAAAAAAAGGATGGTCATTAAATTAAATCTCAAGATCAACAAAACTGAAAATCTATTCATCATTTGTCAAATCTGTCATGCTCGATTATTGCAAAACTTGGCGAATCAATACCAATAAAATAAAAACGTTTCAAACTTCAAATAACAAGTGCCTACGAATCATCTGTAAAGTATTCTGACCTAACACAATTAGCAATGAAGCGGTCTGGCTACTTTGTGGTCAAGAAGAATTTACGTACTATATAATGATAAGACGCTGAAGATGGATTGGACACACATTTCGTAAAAACCTTATTTTATATTAAGTGCCGCATTAGAATGAAATCCAGTTGATAAACAAAAACGTGGTAGACTACGTAACACATAGAGAAGGTAGGTGTTAGCAGAGCTTGAGTTTACAGGACTGAACTGGTCATTAAAATATTATCTGTAAATAGATTAAGATATCGTAATTGAATTGAACCCTTGTGCTCACTAGTGGAATGAATAAAGGTGAAAGAAATGGATCAACAAAAGAGAAATGAAAAACTTGATCAATTGTATTGCTTGGGATAGACTTTTTAAGATTAGTTTAGTGAGATATATCTCAAGATAAATATTACTTTTGACAAACAAATTTTCTCTTTTTTAACACTATTTGCCTTTATTGAACCGAATATGAACCGAATATGATTTTTTTAGACGAGTTTTATGGAGTTTTATTCAGTATGCAGTGAATTTTCAATAATGTCAACTCTTGCAAAGTTAAATGCTTTTGGATCTGCTTTGTTAGTAACATACCTTTCTGCACTTATATTCATACCTACAAATCGTATGTCTCAACTTCTGTATGTTAAGTATTCGTTTCCAATTCCAATATAGTTTGCTGTTATTAACTAGAAAGATATCGACGTTACAATGGCATAGCCAAGATTACAGAAGACTGATTCTGTAATGTATTATCTGTAGATTACAGTGTCAAAAGCAAATATGACCCCAATTCCCTCTGGCTACCTCTTTACGTTGTTATACACAAATACCAACTCAATTTACCAACGAAGTTTTAAATACTCCAGACTAGACGGAAATACACATTTTCTATTTAAAATATTTTTATTATTTTTCTCAATGCAATTTTTAAAATAAATGTCTAAAAACTTTACACACAATTGTCACATAACACCGAACTGTGAATATTATATGAAAATTTTAGCAATTTGGTCAAGAACACAGTTTGATATTAAAACTCTTACCTTCACCCTCGAATAACATTTGCTCGTATGCTTCCATTTTCAGTTCTAGTTTTCGTTTATGGTTTGCAGTCAAAATTGTTGTTTTATTGTCTCAATTAACATATAAATTGGCTAAGTCAGACACATAAACCATAAATGTTCATCAATGCCAGGTTAGTATATTGTCTTTATACATTTCTGCACAAAATAATTTAGGTAAACAAACATCAACGTTAAGTCAAATCATTATTCCAAATTTTTGGTCATTCTTTGGCTTCTAAACAGCAGAAATCAGAATAAGTTTAGTAACCATTCCAAAGCCAACATCGTTCCGGTTATGCCATCGCCCTCATGCAGAATGGGTTTACGATTCTCACATGTTGATGAAATAAATTTTTGACAATGAAATTTCCCTTCATAAAATTGAGTTGGAAAACCAAAATGCCATTACATGTACTCCACCCATGAGGTAACCTTGTTGAATTTGTTGAATTTGTTGGCTTTCAAAACGACTGTTGTGACATTTAATTTAATGTGAACTGCATTTGATTGGTTTTTTCGGAGGCACTCATTTCAATTGCCCTTTAAACATATGGCAGATCAATTTTTCCAAATTGTTGTTAAATCATGGACTGAGTAAAACGTATTGTTTTCAACTTATAAGGTATTTTTTTGAAACCGGAAGGATAAAGAAAAGTTAAGAACTATATGTGCGAATAATAATTTTAAATCTCTTCATGGCTTTAAGAAAATGAAGAAATTATTTTATAATGTCACCGTAAATATTGCACTGGTTTCCTAACTAACATTTAAATGTCAACAAATGTTAAATTATCAGAAAGCTGGGTTTTTTATATTGAATGAATGAGTATTCAAATACAGAAAACTGTGAATATATCTGCCAATAAATCAAAGCACCCATATAATGTGTCCATTAACTCGCTACCTAAATTAAAAAATGCTTCAGAAATACTGTGGGAGACTAGAATTTTCATTTTAATGCGATAGAGGTGTTTTATTAAGTTTGGCTTTAAATAGTTAAGGACAAACTGCCCAAACACCCATATTATGCCATTACGTCCAAAATAATTAAACTAATTCTCGAATTATAGTACAAATCGATTTGTAATTGATAATGCACGAGATTACAGGGATACATATACAAAACTGACCAGAAGCATTGTACCATGTTATAACACCATATTAACAAAAGGTTTTGCTTGCTTTATAATTCTAAGAGAAGTATAGGTTCATCAAAACACGTCAGAGATCTTGCAGCTACTTAATTAATTAATTTCTCTATGCGGGTGACTACAAAAAACCTACAGAGAACTATTTCGGCTAATAAAAGAGGTAAATTTTCGAATGTGACTTAGTTGAAATTAATTATCTTTTAAAATTGTTAAAATTGCATGATATTAATTGAACTCATTGAACTCAATTGATACTGATTCGAAAGGTTATGCAGATTGAATAACTCTAGTCACCAATAACGATATTTCAAAAGTAGCTTATGAATTTACTGATAGTTGTAAATTTTACTGAAGCTTTATTCATACTTATTGATTGCAGAATTTCTACTTTCAATTGTGGAATGACTTCTGACACTGCTCATCTTTTATAATATTTTAGAAATAAGACGAAACCAAACATAATAACGAAAAAGGTTGGAGAAATATTAAGATCAAACCACATTTCTTATAAGTTCCAAACCACTATTGCATCATAGCGAATGAATTCGCTAACAATAAAACTGATAAAGAGTCTGTGAATAAACCAACGGGCCAAGAATGAATTTTTGGCATCAACCCTGCAGAGTTCCTTCATTCTGTTAATCGCTTAATAGATTTTAACCACAAAGCATGATAATCCGAAGTGGAAGTTTGCAAATTAAAGCAAATCGTACAATGAAATGAAAAAATTTCTCATACAATGAAAGAAAGAAGACAAAGCTTTCAACATGCCCCAACACAGATGAGCACAATATGACAACGATGACGACTAAAACAGATCTGATATGTTAATCTTAACTCGAGGATGTGACCAACATAGAGTGCTTTGCATGTCATTAAACAGCATTTGCAACAACCTGATTAATATTGCTGGAAAATGATGTTCTGAGTATAAAAAATGTTTATTCTCTCCCCATTAGAATCTATTATATTCATTAATGAAACTAAGAAATTCATAATAGAGCAACTAATACTTCTCGATTTACTCCTGTTATTTGACTTGTAATTTTCGTTAGTTCCTTGTTTGAGCACAATTGTCAACTTAGTGAGACCACTGGTTTTATCTTTAAACTCAACTCTGGCAAAACCAATATTTTTTATTGAGTTTATCTTTTATTACTAAGCCGCGATAGCTAGAACTAACTAGATGTCTTAATGTGATAAATTCGTATATTACAATCTAT